TGGAGAATGAGCTGTTTCCAGGGCCCAGGGGCGCCAGCCCCATCAGCCCTCTCTCCCACCACTGCCTGGCCAGGCCCTGGCCTCCTGGACCCTCATCGTCTTGACTTTCTGGCTGAAAGGGGTGAGCCTAGGCTCTCACGATCCCTAAATGTGGCAGAGAGCCAGAGGGTAGGACCCCTCCACTTGGCAAGGGAATGTGGGGTGAGCAGCCTCTGCCGTCCTGGCTAGGGGCCAGCCAGGAGGAGTGTGGCCCTCAACTGCCTGTGGGGCATATGGCACCCAGGTGCCATCTCCTGTACCAGCCCATGCACCTCCACCCACGCGGCTGACACGGGGCCCTTCCCCAGCCCAGGCCACTGCCATGTTCAGGCTGCAACTCCATCAAGCCGGCTGCAGCAGTCTGCAGGCAGTTGGGGGAAACATGAAACCATGAGCTTGATGCACCAGGTGCGTGGCCAGGCAGGTGGAGCGTGAAGCCAGGCCTGCCCAGCAGGGCCCTGGTGCCATCCAGGACTAACCGGGTCCTCACCAGGAGCTGTTCAGGCCTCTCTCTCGGCCCAACTGCCCGGGGGTCAGGGCAAAGCCTGTGGTCCTGGGGACAGGCCAGGCAGGTGGGAGGAGGGGCAGGCATCCGCTTCTAGGTGGGAGCTTTGCTGGGTGTCACCTGCCAGGCTCCAAAACCAAGCACTGGCCTTGGGGCACCCCTGGTGGCAATGTGTGGCAGGGACGGCTGTTTCTTCCCGACCTCAGCCAACTGCAGTTTGAAGCAGAACAAACTCAGTGGGCCCCGGGGCCGCCTTTAGGGAAGTGGTTTCTCGTCCAGCTGTTCCCACAGGATTGATAACACTTACGTTCCATGGACGGCCCCCGACGCAGCAGCAGAAAGGCTCACAAAAGCCCTGCTGGGCTCCACGAGCTGACTCAGCAGGGGAGGCCCATCCCTGTGCCCCTCCAGGTGCCCGGAAGGTGGGCCAGAGCTGGGAGGCGGGGCCAGCTTCCTCAGACCCAGGGAGGCCTGGCAAGCCAGCAGCCCCTCCTCAGGTTGGGACCCTGGCTGTGTGCCCTGGTTGACTTCAGACACATGGGGACTCACTTGAGGATCTTCCCAGCTGTGGGGAGCTCCTGGCCCCAGTAGTGTAGGTCCACGCCGTAGGGCACCACGGGCGCCCGGGCCCGCTCTGCTGCCAGCTTCTGGGCCTCCTGTGGCTCTGGTAACACTCTGGGGGGGCTATAGGAACAGAGCAGGACATCCTGACTGTGTGCTGCTGGTGCTAGCCACAGCCACCCGCCTCTCCCTCTCCACCCTCGCAGCACGGCCGGGGCCTCAGGTTGGCTCAGGTGAGCAATGGATTCTGCCACACAACACCCGGGCCTCAGAGCCACCACTGAGGTCCTGTGAGAAGCTCTGGGCCCTGGCCAACAGCTGGCCTCTGGTCTGCAGTTCTTCACCCTGGCCCAGGGGTGACCTGACACCTGCCTCTCAAACGCCAGCCCTGGGGGCTCCTCTCAGAGGCACGAGCAGTGTCTGGAAGGGTATTTGTTGGCCCAGCCCCACACGGGCCCCAGCTGATGCTGGCACTGACAAGCCCAAACATGGCACCAACAGTGCTCACCCGGCCGGGGGTGCAGACCCCAGGCTTCTGCCAAGATATCCAGAGAAGGCACTGAGCAGCCTGTCGAGGCCAGCCAGTACTCTGGGCAGAGGTTGTGGCAGCGCCAGGCAGGGGCTCAGAACACAGGACACTGGGAGTCACCTGGCAGACGAGGGTGGCGGCAAGTGTTCCCGGAGCCACCGCAGCTGAGCAGCCGCAGACGTGGGGTCCGACGCCTCCTCGTCTTTCCTCATCCTTGTCCGCAAGCCCCGCACAGCTGTCTCGTTCTCTAGTGTTGCCTCCAGCCCTGAAACAGACATGTGTCCACCCCCTGCCACCACTCCCACAACCTACCAGGCACATCCGCGAGACTGGGCAGTTAGAATGCGTCTACGCCAGCGTGTTCCATCTTCCGACAGTCCTGAGGTGGGTGCCTGCTATCTGAACCTCACGGGCGAGGGTGAGGCCCGGAGCAGCAGCTCAGGCCACGCTCTGCCAGAACGTGGTGTGCGTTGGGGGCTCCGGCAGTCTTGCCTTGTGGCCATACAGTTCACGCACTGTGCTACCTGGCTTGGCAGAAGGGCCAGCCTGAGCAGACGGATTTGCCGGGCTGTAAAGAAGCTGGGCAGCAGCGAGAGCCCAGACTGCCCAGCACTCTGTGCCCGTGAGATGTAGGCAGCCTGCAGCCCTCCCCAGCCCCCAGGCCTGAGGTGGCAGCCGCTTGGAAAGGCCACCCACGGGGTGTCCACAAGGTCCTCAAGGAGAAGAGAATGCACACTTCCACACAGGGTTTCAACCCACGCCTCACGCCGAGGTAAAACCGCAATGTTAGCGGGGATTCCAGCCCCGCGTCCCCACAGAAACACCTGGGGCTGTACCACAGCTTCAGCAGGCGCCTCTGAGAGCCACGGCCCTGGCCCTGGCAACTCCCTCCCTCCGTCTGCCAGGCAGAGGCTGAGTTCCAATGAGCAAGATGCCGTCCCGGAGTGCCTGTCGCAGAGGGCCCACCCCGCCGCCAGCAAGACAAGGCCATGGCGCTGTATCTCACCAACGTACCACAGAGACAGACAGGGACGAGGCCACCAGCCCCTGGCCTCCGCAGCCCAGCGTGCACCCTGGGTCCCCGGAGCAGGACAAGGAGATTCTCCAACACTGCTGGGCCCTGACCTGCCTCTCCCCTCACCTGCCTCTCCCCTCCTCCCGTACCACGTCCTAGGCTTGGCTCTCAGGCTGCCCCGCGGGGCTCACCCTGACCCTGATGGCGCCTCTCGGTCAGGGCAGGGGCCTATACTCCCTAGTGGCTGTCTGAGCTGGTGTCCTGGGACATCAGGATGGCAGGGGGCACAGGAGGTGCCAGCAGGCTATGGGTTAGGACAAAGGGCACCACCCACCTCCCCAAACCTGCTGTAGGAGCAACTAAGGCTGCACTTGAGCCTGTCCTTCCCTGTGGGCTGCCGGTCAGTGGGGCTCAAGACCCCAGAGGAACCTGGACCGCAGGGAAGCCAGACTTTGGAGAGCTGCCATGGAAGAAAGAAAACGGACCGAGCAAGGCGTCCTGGCTGCAGTGGAATCCACAGAAAGAAAACAGACCGAGCAAGATGTCCTGGCCGCGGCGGAATCCACAGAAAGAAAACGGACTGGCAGCCCAGCCGAGGAGGCACACAGCCCATGCCACGCTCCCCAGAAGCTACGGAGACAGAGCAAGAGGCCAGGAAGGGAGGGGGGAGGGGGGATCCTGAAGACGCCTCCACTAAAGACAAAGGGCAAGGAAAACTGTCAGGTGCAGAGGACTTGCCGGATGGCTGAGGGGACCGACCACAGCACGAGTGAGACACAGGTGACCACAGACAGTGAGGGAGGAAGCACGGAGGACCCTCTTAAGAGCTCCAAGGGGTGAGGGGGACGCACAGGTGTCAGCATCCTCGTCTCTCTTAAAATCCCGGGAGGAGACAGAAATAATTGGAGCGCAGAAAATAGTTGAAGACACAATGAGCCACGTTTTCCTGGAATTGGAAGGCTCACTGAGAGTCAAAAGAGACAGACAAAAAACCATGGCTAGAGGCGCTACAGGAAAACCGAAGAACACCATGGCCCGAGACACTTAACACCGAGCACTGAGGTCAACCTGACTGCCTGAAGGATACAAAGTATTGATCCTGGGTGTGTCTCTGAGGGTGTTGCCAAAGGAGATTAACATGAGTCAGTGGGCTGAGGAAGGCAGACCCACCCTTAATCTGGTGGGCACCATCTAATCAGCTGCCAGTGAATATAAAGCAGGCAGAACACCGTGAAAAGCAGAGACGGGCCTTGCCTCCCCGCCTACATCTTTCTCCCGTGCTGGAAGCTTCCTGCCCTCCAACATCGGACTCCAGGTTCTTCCGTTTTGAGACTCGGACTGGATCTCCTTGCTCCTCAGCCTGCAGATGGCCTACTGGGGGCCTTGTGGTCATGTAAGTTAGCTGATACTTTCAAAGAAATACAAATTCTATTGACACAAGATTTTCAACAGCAACCGTGAATGCAAGATCTTAGAAGGTCACTTTGAAAGTGCGGAAGGAGAAGTTCAAGCTCAGAGTTTTATAGCCAGCTAAACGATCACTTCTTGTGTAGACAGAGGACGATGACCTCATGGAGACGAGTACTTTTGAGGTTTGCCATGGTGAGGTCCGCTTTGAAAACACCTTCACAGCCAGTAGTCACAAAGAAAAGCCAGGGGGGTGGAGCAAGACATGGGCAGTGCCCTGAGACATGAGCACTGAGTGTGTAGAGACACAGGAGGTGAGTGCAGGGACGGGGGAGGTGAGTGCCCTGAGACATGTGAGGTGAGTGCAGAGACACGGGAGGTGAGTGCCCTGAGACACGTGAGGTGAGTGCAGAGACACGGGAGGTGAGTGCCCTGAGACGCGGGAGGTGAGTGCAGGGACGCAGGAGGTGAGTGCCTTGAGACGCGGGAGGTGAGTACAAAGACACGGGAGGTGAGTGCCCTGAGAGGTGAATGCAGAGAGACAGGAGGTGAGTGTCCTGAGACGCGTGAGGTGAGTGCAGGGACGCAGGAGGTGAGTGCAGGGACGCAGGAGGTGAGTGCCCTGAGACGCAGGAGGTGAGTGCAGAGACACGGGAGGTGAGTGCCCTGAGACGTGTGAGGTGAGTGCAGAGACACAGGAGGTGAGTGCCCTGAGAGGTGAGTGCAGAGACACGGGAGGCGAGTGCCCTGAGACACGTGAGGTGAGTGCAGGGACACGGGAGGTGAGTGCCCTGAGATGTGGGAGGTGAGTGCAGAGACACGGGAGGTGAGTGCCCTGAGACGCGGGACGTGAGTGCAGGGGCATGGGAGGAGTGAGTGCCCTGAGGCGGGATGTGAGTGCAGAGACACGGGAGGTGAGTGCCTGAGAGGTGAGTACAGAACCACGGGAGGTGAGTGCCCTGAGACGCGTGAGGTGAGTGCAGGGACACGGGAGGTGAGTGCCCTGAGACGCGGGACGTGAGTGCAGGGGACCACGGGAGGTGAAGTGCCCTGAGACGCGTGAGGTGAGTGCAGGGACACGGGAGGTGAGTGTGCAGGGACACGGGAGGTGAGGCCGAGATGCAGGGAGAGTGAGTTCAGGGCGTGGGAGTGAGTGCCTGGACGCGGGACGTGAGTGCAGAGACACGGGAGGTGAGTGCAGGGACACGGGAGGTGAGTGCCCTGAGGCAGCGTGAGGTGAGTGCAGGGACACGGGAGGTGAGTGCCCTGAGACGCGTGAGGTGAGTGCAGGGACATGGGGAGGTGGTGCCCTGAGATGCAGGAGGTGATTGCAGGGGCGGGAGGTGAGTGTGCAGGGACGTAGGAGGTGAGGCCGAGATGCAGGAGGAGGTATTGAGTTCAGGGCGTGGGAGGTGAGTGCCCTGAGGCGCGGGAGGTGAATGCAGGGCGTGGGAGGTGAGTGCCTGAGGCGCAGGAGGGTGAGCATGAGGCGTGGGAGGTGAGTGCCCTGAGGCGCGGGAGGTGAATGCAGATATGTGGGAGGTGAGTGCCCTGAGGCGCGGAGGTGAGGCTGAGATGCAGGAGGTGAGTTCAGGGCGTGGGAGGTGAGTGCCTGAGGCGGGAGGTGAGCATGGGCGTGGGAGGTGAGTGCCTGAGATGCGGGAGGTGAGCATAGGGCGTGGGAGGTGAATGCCCTGAGGCAGCGGAGGTAAACGCAGAGATGTGGGAGGTGAGGTGCCCTGAGATGCCAGAGGAGAGTGCAGGGGGTGTGGGAGGTGAGTGCAGAGACACAGGAGGTAAGTGCAGAAACACGGGAGGTGAGTGCAGAGACACGGGAGGTGAGTGCCCTGAGACACGGGAGGTGAGTGCAGAGACACGGGAGGTGAGTGCCCTGAGACACGGGAGGTGAGTGCCCTGAGATGCCGGAGGTGAGTGCAGGGAGTGTGGGGAGGGTGAGTGCAGAGACGCGGGTGAGTGCAGAGACTCGGAAGGAACACTGAAGCGTGACTTTGTAAACTGTCCCTGTTCTGCAAACCCAAGTGTTCATATCAACCAGAATGAAGTTGGTTCTGGATGACCCAATGTGACGGGGTGGAAGGAGGCCACACACGTGGGGAGAGGTGCTTGGTGATTCGTCTTATGCAGGAAATAGTACAGTAATGGAGAAACTCTAGAAACAAACAGTGAATGATACGTATGTGTGTAAATCCTTTCCACAACAAGGAGTGACCATCCGAAGAATAAACCAGCGGAACTTGAAGGCGCAAATGGTGGGAGAGAAAGCGAGGCAAGGACGGTGGCTGAAGTCGGAGAGGAAGTGCGACGGATGGACGCATGACAGGCCGCCAGATGTGTGTGCAAAGACTTCATAACAACCGTTAGTCAGCAGATTCAGATTAATGAAAAAGACAGACTCTGGAGTGGGCGTCTTTAGCAATATGCCATCTAAAGAAGACCCACTTAGGGCCGGGCGCGGTGGCTCAAGCCTGTAATCCCAGCACTTTGGGAGGCCGAGATGGGCGGATCACGAGGTCAGGAGATCGAGACCATCCTGGCTTCTTTCTGGTGAAACCCCGTCTCTACTAAAAAAATACAAAAACTAGCCGGGCGAGGTGGCGGGCGCCTGTGATCCCAGCTACTCAGGAGGCTGAGGCAGGAGAATGGCGTAAACCCGGGAGGCGGAGCTTGCGGTGATCGAGATCTGGCCATTGCACTCCAGCCTGGGCGACAAGCGAGACTCCGTCTCAAAAAAAAAAAAAAAAAAAAAAAAAAGAAGAAGACCCACTTAATACAATGGTTAGTGAAAAGTTGAAAATAACGGATGAAAAAGATTTTACTATGAAAACAGTGACCAAAGACAGAGAGGTCCTATGTGGGTACTAGAAAAACTAGATTTTAGATAAAAAATAAGAGGAGTAAAGAAGAGAATGTTTGATTATGTAATAAACATGAACAGATATGTAACTTACAAATGCAGTCTCAAACATAAAAAAGCAATGCTGAGGGGCTACGGGTGCAGAGACACACCCTGACTGCGGGGACTTCGGCAAACCCTCTTGAAGTGGCCGTTAGGCAAAGAATGAAACTGTATCATGGGTGGTCTGTACAGCACAGTCAAAACCACCAAACTAAGAGACACCGTGAGACCTCCTGTCTGACACAGTCTGGCTCTATGTCCATACCCAAATCTCATCCTGTAGCTCCCATAATTCCCACAAGTGGTGGGAGGAGCTGGTCGTCTTCCCGTGGTGTTCTCCTGAGAGTGAATACGTCTCACGAGATCCGACGGTTTTAAAAGCGGGAGTTCCTGTGCACAAGCCCTCTCCCTGCCTGCCGCCAACCACGTAAGATGTGACTTGCTCCTTCTTGTTACATGATTGGCCAAACCTCCGTCATGTGGGCGATTAAGAAGTCCAATAAACCTCTTTCTTTTGTAAAATGCCAGTCTCGGGTGTGTCTTTATCAGCAGCATGAACATGGACTAATACAACATCCAAGAAGTCCTTCTCCAACACACATACCCAGAACCGTGAGAAAACCAAGTACTAAGTCAACAGGGGCCTCAGTCACTTCCCAAGAATCAGCACCGCCCAGACTGTGTCCTGAGACTACAGAACAGAGCATCAAAACAGAGGCATGAAGCTCAGGCAGCAGAAACTCACGTATACGTGATTGATTACAACACACACACACACACACACATAGGTCCACGCACAGACCGCGCTCTCACTGAACACGAGTGAGCTGCAGAGCATGCAGGCTTTCTGTCTGTGCAGGTTTACTGAGTATATACACACACGTACATGTCCATGCCGTCACTTACGACATGCTGTCCCTGAACACCCACGTGTGCTCACGGCAGGCTTTCCCGAGGGACACCGCGGTGCACCTCCACTTACCTGCTCTGCACAGCCAGGAATGCTTTCTGTTTGGAGAAGGGCTGGGAGAGAATGAGGAGGCGTGAAGTAGGGTACTGCAAAGACTGCCTGTGCAGAAGCTTCTGGGAGAGAGAGTGGGTAAGGACAAAGGGCCTTGCTCCAGGCCATGACAAGCATCCTGGAAACCAAGGAGGTGGCCACCAACCCCGTCCCTGAGTTGCAGAGGAAGGCACTTCTCTGAAAGGGCTCACCGAACTTGGGGCAGTTTGGGCCACCCTCTGACTTGTACCAGCTCTCTGGGCAGCAGTCAGTCTGGCATGTGCAGAAATGCCACACCCTGTGCTCAGGGCTCGCCAGCCTGTGGCTGTGGGCCAAGTCCAGCCACCACCTACATCTGCACGTGAATAGGGTGTTAGCTGGCACACAGTGCACCCATCACCTACACGCAGAACAAGGCCTCGTGTGGCCCCTGAAGCCGAAGAGACTGTGCTCTGGCCCTTCACAGAAGGTGCCTGTCCTGCTCGGGGAGCTCTTTGAGCCGTGCACAGCTGCACACCTGCTGCGGCTGCATGCCTGCGGGGTTGCTCCCATTTCTGGGGTTCCCAGGGGCTGAAAGCAGAGAATGTGAGACAAACCACCACAGAGCAGGTGACACGGCTGGACCTCCAACCCCAAGGCATGCACCCAGGAGACACTGGGCAGCCCCTGCTCAGCCCTGGCACTCAATGCCGTGTCCTGGGTTTTACTCTGAACCTGCCAAGTGCCCATTATTCTGGAAATACACATGACACAGATACGGGCTGTCAACACATGCGTGCACATACACGCATGCTGCGCACCTTGCCTGCGCACGCACACACGCGCACATGCACGTGCACACACACGTGCATGCTCACAGTGGGGCAAGGCAGACTGATAAGTGAACAATGTGACATTTAAGATACAATCACAGCCAAAGAATCAATATAGAAATTCCCTAAGAGTTACAAGAATGAAATATATTTTTCATCGATTTGTTGTTTTAAACCATTAAAAAGATGGTAGCGTGTTGCAGCAGGAGGTAAATACTTGGGGCACTAAAAACACTCCCACTTGCGCATCGCGTGGAAAATCCAATCTCATGACATACTTTCAAGCAAAACCCCAAAAGCAGAACCATTCCTCCAGGCACGAGCATGCATTTTCAGGAAGAATAATGACTCCTGGAAAACAAGAGGCCACACGTCACAGCCGAACCCGGCCTGCACTTCGCCGGCGTCTCACTGAAGTCCAGCATCTTTGGCTCAAATTCACTCCCACGGTTGTTTTAGAAAGAATCATAAAAATGTCCATGCGCTTTTTTTGTTTAAATTGGCCAAGTGGCACCTGTTTTGCCTGAAGCACCAGCAGACGTGCGGGGAGAATCGATGGCAGGAAACGGAGAGGCGAGGCCTCTGCGCCCAGGCGAGCTGCCCAGCTGACATTATTGATTTTACCTAGTTCAGCTGGCCTTGTAATTAAAATGTAAATTTGAGAGAGGTGTGTCCTGACAGAAATGGTAGGATTAAGGAAGATAAAAGGCCCTCCAGCTGTTTGAGAATTTCAGAAAAGAAATGAGCAAGCAAAGTACGGGTTTCCTCCGTGGTGTGGTTAGACTAAATCTAACTACTTCCAGATTCGCCCACGTTGAGTGAAAAAAACAGCGACAGAATATAAACTCGTGTTATGTGGGCTAGGCTGGCCGAATCTGCCCCACGGTTCCCATCTGGTCCCTGCCTCCCGGCACTCTTGCCGGGGCCCTGGGGTCTGTGAGAAGCTGAGTGGGCAGGTGTCCCCCTCTGCACACCCCAGAGGGCGGCTCTGTCACCAGGGCCTGCCCCCTCCTTTGGCCCTCCCAGCCCTCGCCTGGGGCTGGTACAGCTGGTGCCGCACTTGCCTTGGGCGACTCCCAGCAGTGCCGCGAGGACACCCAGGCCAGGCCACCACAGGGGCCATCGGCACCTTCAGGAGCTGAAGGCAGAGGTGATCAGCCTTCCCACTTCAAGAAGTCGATGTGTGTCAAACTCCCTGGACCTCGCCACCCGGCAGTTAGTGATAGCCTAACTCAAGGCACCTCCCTCACGCCGGGCATGCATGG